GGTCACATTTTTGTGTGGTTAATATATCAAACCCAAAACAGAAATCAAAAGTTCCTGGAAAAGAGAACATACCCATTCCAATGTAAAATATATGTAATATATATAATGTAAACAAAGTTCAATCTGGTATATTTATATATCAAAACTAGAGGCCCGATGCACGAAATTCGTGCAAAGGTAGGGTCCCTACGCCTGGCCGGCAATCAGAGCTGATCTGTGGGGCGACCAGCGGGACAGTCAGGGGGGCCCTGCTGGCACCCACCTTGGCCAGCCTGGTGCCTCCTGCTCACCAGCCCTGCCAACTGCTGCCGCCCACTCGCTGGCTGGTCCCAACCCCCAGTGCCACTGTGGGTTGCCTCCCTCTGCAGGGCAACCAGCGGGGCTATTGGGGTGGCCAGCTGGCACCCACTTTGACTGGCCTGGGGCCTGTGGGCTGGGGGAAGCTCCTGTATTAAGAGTCTGCCCCCTGGTGGTCAGTGCGCATCATAGTGACCGGACGTTCCACCAGTTGTTCCACCATTTGATCAATTTGCATATTAGGTTTTTATTATATAGGACTAGAGGCCCAGTACACAGAATTCGTGCATGGGGGGGAGGGGTCCCTCAGCCCAGCCTGCACCTGCTCCAATCCAGGACCCCCAGGATTGGGCCTAAACCGGCAGTAGGACATCCCTCTCATAATCGGGACTGCTAGCTCCTAACTGCTCACCTGCCTGGCAGCCTGGTCGCCCCAACTGCTCCCCCTGCCAGCCTGGTCGCCCCCAACTTCCCCTCCCCGCTGGCCTGGTTGCCCCTTACTGCCCCACCTGCTTGCCTGGTTGCCCCATGCAGCCTGCTGTTCAGTTGTTTGGTCGTCCCTCACTTACCCGCCTGCCTGCCTGGTCGCCCCATGCAGCCTGCTGTTTGGTCATTACTGTTACTGTGATGGTGTCCTGGACAATTTGCATATTCCTCTATTATTAGTATGGATTTCATTGGACTGCTTTCTAGGTCTGTTTCATTAGTGAAAACTTCTCCATAGTGATATTTGCATTTGATATTTACAATAAACCATCCTGGCTGCAGCCTATTGCAGATATAGAGCATCCAAATTCTTCTCCTTTGGAACTTTAATTGCTAAGGTCCTTACAACTATCTTTCTCTCCCCTCCTTTATATTACATACATATTCTTCTTGGTACCCCACAGAAGCTCCATATGAACAAACTAGAGGCCCAGTGCACAAAACTCGTGCATGGGGAGGAGGGTACCCTCAGCCCAGCCTGCATCCTCTCCAATCCAGGACCTCTCGGGGGATGTCCGACTGCCAGTTTAGGCCTGATCCCTGCCTGCCTGCCTGATTGCCCCTAACCACCTCTGCTGGCCTCCCTGATTGCCCCTAAATGCTCCGCTGCTGGCCTGATCACCCCTAACTGCTCCCCTGCCAGCCTGATTGCCCCTAACTGCCTCTGCCTTGGTCCCCACACCCAGGACCCAGGCTTCCTTTTCTGACCAGCCACAGGCACCTGGGACCCATTCTTCCCTCTTTCTGGCTGGCCACAAGCACCTGGGGCCTGGGCCAGGTTCGCCTGGGCCAGCCGCAGGCACCCAGGACCCGGGGGGGTGGGGGCGGGGAGGATTCGCCCAAGCTGGCCGCAGCCACAGGCACCCGGGACATCGGGTGGCTTCACCCAGGCTCAGCTTTGTCAGGAAGGATATCATGAAGGTCGTCCGGAAGATGTCCAGTCTAATTAGTATATTACCCTTTTATTAATATAGATATGTTTTTTGGGGAAATATATGTTGCTGATTTATTTATTTATTTTTAATTCTTTATTGCTTAAAGTATTACATATGTCTCCTTTTTCCCCCATTGACCTCTCTCCAGCTACTCCTACCCCCCAGCACATGCCCTTACCCCTCCTCCCTCAGTGTCTGTGTCTATTGGTTATGCTTATATGCATGCATACAAGTCCTATGGTCAATCTCCCCATCCCCCAACCCTTTCCTCTGAAGTTTTGACTGTCTGTTCAATGCTTCTCTGTCTCTGGATCTATTTTTGTTCATCATTTTATGTTGTTTATTAAATTGCACAAATGAGTGAGATCATGTGATATTTATCTTTCTCTGACTGGCTTATTTCACTTAGCATAATGCTCTCCATGACCATCCATGCTGTCACAAATGGTAAGAGTTTGTTCTTTTTCACAGCAGCATAGTATTCCAGTGTGTAGATGTACCACAGTTTTCTAATTCACTCATGTGCTGATTGGCACTTAGGCTGTTTCCAAATCTTAGCTATTGTAAATGTGCTGCTACTAATATAGGAGTGCATGTATCCTTTCTGAATGGTGTTTAAGATTTCTTTGAATATATTCCTAAAAGTGAAATTACTGGATCAAATGGGAGTTCCATTTTTAATTTTTTGAGGACACTCCATACTGTTTTCCACAGTGGCTGCACCAGTCTGCATTCCCACCAGCAGTGCAAGAGGGTTCCTTTTTCTCCACATCCTCACCAGTACTTGTTGTTCATTGATGATAGCCATTCTGACAGATATGAAATGCTACCTCATTGTCATTTTGATTTGCATCTCTCGGATGATTAGTGACTTGGAGCATGTTTTCATATATCTCTTAGCCTTCTAGATGTCCTTTTTCAAAAACTGTCTACCAGTATTTAGGTCCTTTGCCAATTTTTTATAGAATTTTTTATCTTCCTATTCTTAAGATGTATGAGCTCCCTATAAATTTTAGAGATTAGACCAGGGGTCCTCAAACTTTTTAAACAGGAGGCCAGTCCACTGTCCCTCAGACCGTTGGAGGGCTGGACTATAGTTTAAAAAAAAACTATGAACAAATTCCTATGCACACTGCACATATCTTATTTTGAAGTAAAAAAACAAAACGGCAACAAATACAATATTTGTATTTGCATGTGGCCCGCGGGCCGTAGTTTGAGGACCCCTGCTCTGGAGACTTTGAATCTTTGCCTGATCTAATTAGTCAGACACAGCCTTTAACACTGTCCTGACTTCCCATTGGCTAATCAGGGCGATATGCAAATTAACTGCCAAGAAAGATGGCGGTTAATTTGCATACATAGGCGCCAAGCAACGGAGCGAAGCCGGATGGCCCTGGGCAGGAGCAGCGAGTGAAGGCCGGTGTGGTGAGCGAAAAGCAAAGAGGGAAGCCAGCCACGCCGGCCTCCGCCATGCCCCCGGGGCCCGCGCACGGCGAACAAGGAGCTAAGCCCCTCACCCGCCACGCCGGCCCCTCCTGGCGAAGAGCGAAGGCCTGGGTTCCCGGGCACTGGAGGAAAACTGGTGCCAGCAGCCAGGGGAAGGGGCCCCCGAGGGGCCCCAGACTGCAAGAGGGCACAGGCCGGGCTGAGGGACCCACCCACGTGCACAAATTTTTGTGCACCGGGCCTCTAGTCTATATATAAGAGCCTAAGCAACTGTTATGACGCAATGACCTAACAACCAGTCGAACAGTTGCTATGATATGTATTGATCACCAGGGCGCAGACGCTCAACGCAAGAGCTTCCCCCTAGTGGTCAGTGTGCTCCCACAGCCAACCTCCCGCAGCAAGCCAGCATAACGCGGTCCCTCCATACCCCTGTCTGCCGGCCCCTATCAGTCCCTCCCCCCAGCCGTCTAGCCCCAATCGTCCCAATAGGAATTGATTGAAACAGCCCCTATTGGAACCAATCACTGGGCAGGCCGAGGGACCCCACCTATGCACAAATTTTTGCACCGGGCCTCTAGTATATATATAAAAGCCTAAGCGACCATTACAACTGGTCAACCAGTTGCTATGATGACACACTGACCACCAGGGGGCAGACGCTCAATGCAGGAACTGCCCCCTGGTGGTCAGTGCATTCCCACAGCCAACCTCCCATGGCCAGCCAACCTCCCATCATCCCTCCCTGCAGACAGCGGGCGCCAATCAGTCCCAATTGCTGACCAGGACGAGGGACCCCACCCATGCATGAATTCGTGCACTGGGCCTCTAGTCAAATATAACTGGCAAATATGTTCTCACATGCAGTGGGCTTTCTTGTTGTTTTGTTGATGGTTTCTTTTGCTGTGCAGAAGCTTTTTATTTTGATGCACTCTCGTTTGTTTATTTTCTCCTTAGTTTCCATTGCCGTAGGAGCTATATGAGTAGATTGCTATGACATATGTCTGATATTTTGCCGACTGAATTATTCTAAGATTTTTATGGTTTCCCATCTTACGTTTAAGTCCTTTATCCATTTTGAGTTTATTTTTGTGAATGGTGCAAGTTGGTGGTCTAGTTTCATTTTTTTTTGCATGTATCTGTCCAATTTTCCCAACACCATTTATTGAAGAGACTGTCTTGACTCCATTGTATGCTCTTGCCTGCTTTGTCAAATATTAATTGAGCATAATGGCTTGGGTCAATTTCTGGTTTCTCTGTTCTGTTCCATTGGTGTATATGTCTGTTCTTGTGCCAGTACCAGGCAGTTTTTAGAAAAGTGGCTTTCTAATATAGCTTGACATCTAGTACTGTGATCTCTCCAACTTTGTTCTTCTTTGTCAAGATTGCTGCAGCTATTTGGGGTCTTTTTTTATTCCAGATGAATTTTTGGAGAGTTTGTCCTAGGTCTTAAATATGCCATTGGTATTTTAATGGGGATTGCATTAAAACTATAGATTGTTTTGGGTAGTATGGACATTTTAATGATGTTGATTCTACCAATCCATGAGCACGGTATGTTCTTCCATCTGTTTATGTCTTCCTCTATCTCTTTTTTCAGTGTCCTGTAGTTTTTCGCGTATAAGTCTTTTACCTCCATAGTTAAGTTTATCCGCAACCCAGGTACATGCCCTTGACTGGAATCGAACCTGGGACCCTTCAGTCCACAGGCCGACGCTCTATCCACTGAGCCAAGCCGGTT